CTGGCCTTGCGGTCGTGCTGCACCTTGATGCCGAGACAAATGTCTGGGCTGCCCAGGTCCTTCATCTTGAAGCGCTTGGAGATGGCCTTCTTGAACGCGGCCATGTCGCTGTCGCTGTCGGCGAAGATGAGCAGGTCGTCCACGTAGACGGCAACCCACATCACCTTGCCACCCTTGCAGGTGCGGCGGTAGATGCAGGCGTCCGTGGCTGTGGCGACGAAGTCCTGCTCGCGCATCCAGGCGTCCAGCGTGTGGTTCCACAGGCGCGGGCTCTGCTTCAGCCCATACAGCCCGCGCTTGAGGCGCAGGACCGTATTCGGCGAGAAGATGCCGTCGACGGCCGGTGGCTGGACGTAGATCTCGTGATCCACGGGCGCGTTGAGGAACGCCGTGTTGACGTCCATCTGCTGGACGTTCATGCCACGAGCGACGGCCATGGCGAGCATGGTGCGGATGGCTGCGATGGTAGCCGTCGGGGCAAAGGTGTCCGTGTAGTTGACACCGTGGACCTGGGAGTAGCCTTTGGCAACCCAGCGCGCCTTGTACTTGATCACCTTGCCCTGGTCATCGCGCTTCCTCCGAAAGATGACCATGCTGCGGAGCAGCTTGTGGCCCTTGGGAAGGTCAGCGCGAGGCACGACGTCGTAGACGTCATTGGCCTGCATTGCCGCAAACTCGTCCAGGATGGCTTGGCGCCACTCCTCAGAGTCTGGCGAGGCAAGCGCCTCCTTGACGGTGGCTGGCTCAGCTGACGTGGCAACACTGCCAGCAGCGATGTCTGGTAGATGACCACCCACTGCTGATGACTTCTCCCCCGTACCAGCAGCGCTGGTGGCAACGTGACACGTGGTGGTTGAGCCACCAGGGGTGTCCTTGTCACCGAGGGTCTCGGACAACAGCAGCTGGTCCCAGACGGAGCCGCCAAGGGCGCGTGGCTGGAGCTGCGGCTCCCCCGCACGTGGTGCAGTGGGAGCGCCGGTGGCACTGTCCTCGGTTGAACGCTGAGCGGTCTTGTTGGCATGCGAAGCAGAGGCACCGCTGTCGTCCTGCTCTTGCTGCTGCTGAGAGGAGGCGACGTCCTTGTTCTTGATGGCGCCGAAGCGAGCGTGGATGGTGTGGACAACGCGTCGCGTGTCCGGCATCCAGACGACGTGGGCCTGGTCCTCCTCAGCGAAGCCGACGTAGACGCCAACGCGTGAGCGTGGGTCAAGCTTGTGCCGCGTGCTGCTCTTCTCCACATGCACGTAGGCCGGCGAACCGAAGACGCGCAACAGGCTGACGTCGAAGGCGTGCCCAGTCAGGGCCTCGAACGGTGACTTGTCCTTGAGGCTCCTGCGCGGCGCGATGTTGTGCAGCAGCGTGGCGTGCTGCACGGCGAAGCCCCAGAACGGCTTGTCCAGGTCCGCAGCAAACAGCATCGTACGCGCCGTCTCGAAGAGGGTGCGGAAAGTGCGCTCTGCGGATCCGTTCTTGGCCTGCGAGTGCGGTGGCGAGAAGCGCTGCTTGATGTCGAAGGCCAGGCACAGGTCGGTGAAGTCCTGACTCTTGAAGACGGCGTCGCTGTCCGTCTGCAGCGTGGCGCCTCGGAGCGCGTTGACGACGTGGCGGTCCTTGCGCAGCTGCTCCAGGGCCGCACCGACGTCGCTCTTGTGCCGGATGAGAAACGTCCAGGCAAAGCGCGTGCAGTCGTCGATGAAGGTCAGCGCGTAGCGTGCACCTCGCAGCGACGTCTCCTCCAGCGGACCGGCGATGTCGGCGTAGAGCAGCTGGCATGGCCCAGCGCTGCGTGGAGCAGACTGCTTCGGGATGGAGGCGCGCGTGCTCTTGCCAAGCGCACATGGTCCACAGGTGACGATGTGCTTGGAAGAGGCCTGGGCAATCTGCTGTCGGATGGCGTCGACGGCCGCGCTGCTGCGATGGCCTAGCACGTCGTGTGCAGAGGCGCCCTCGTCAGCATCCTCGGCTTCCCCATCGCTGCTGTGCACGAGCTCCCCCGCAAGCGCCGTGGCTTGTTGGGAGGTCGTGGTGCTGGCGTAGAGGAAGAGATGGCCGGTGTCCTTGGACGGCAGCAGAGGCACGCTCCATGTGGCAAACTGGATGCGGCTGTCGTCCGCAGCAATGACGACGGAAGCACCACGACGCGCGCGAGTCACCAGGTTCAGCGCCAGAAGGTTGTACTTGATGTCGGGGACATGCAGCACGTTCTTCAGCGTGATGGTACCTGGAGCGCCGTCTGTGCCAGTCACGCGGAGCACGGCGTCGCCCTTGCCGATGACCGTGACGGCCTGGCTGTTGGCAACGGTGACGTGCTGCGTGACGGCGACGTAGTTGGTGAGGAGGGAGGCGTCGCTGGTGATGTGCGCCGTGGCACCGCTGTCAGCGAGCCACAGCTGTGGTGGCACTGGTCCGATGGCGTGGCCCTCCTCCTCGCCCTCGGGCTGCAGCATGAGGGCATCGTGGTGGATGGCGAAGGTCTCCACGCGCTGAGGGCCGTGGCTGACGACGGCCGCCTTCTTGAATGGAGCTGCTCGTCCGTGCTGCGGGCGAGAGGATCCTGGCCGCTTGCCGTTGCCGTTGCCGTGGTTGCGAAGCGTAGCCAGGATCTGCCGCACGTCGATGACGTGGTAGCGCTTGGCCGCCTGCAGCTTGCGGCACTGCTGCGCGCAGTGGCCGCGGAAGTTGCAGAACGCGCAAGTCACGCGCTCTGCAGGTGGACAGCATGGTCCACCGCTCGTGTCGGAGGGCGACGTGCCAGCGTGCATCGGCGATGCAGCGAAGGAGCCGGGGCTTGGCCCGCCGATGGCGAGCACGGGCGTGCGCTTCTTGGGACGATGCAGGCGGCGCTCCTCCTGGATGAGGTCCGCCGTCATCTTGGACAGCGATGGCGGCGGGTCCTCGCGCTCCATGAACCGCATCGCCACATCAAACTCTGCGGGGAGTTCGTTGCGGACGAGGGTGCGCAGGTCGTCCTCCGGGATGGACACGCCGGCAGCGAGGAGCTGCGAGTTGATGTCCGTGATGCGGGACATGAACGTGTCAACGGTGTCCGTGGGCAACCAGGTGGTCGAGGAGAGCTGCTGCCTGAGACGACTGACGTGGTCCTTGCCGCTGCGGATGTAGCGCTCGCGGAGGCGGCGCAGCGCAAGCACACCGGAGCGGCCACGGTTGTCGGTGATGGCCAGCCGCAGCGGGTGTCCCGTCAGGACGCCAAGGAGGAACGCGAAGATGGCTGCGTCAACCTGTGGATCACGGGGATCCAGCAGGCCAGAGGCTCGGGACGCCACCTGCGCTCCTCCGCTCGGAGTGGCGGAAGAAGGGAGAGAGGAAGAGGAGGAAGATGGCTGAGCGCCGTGGTCGTCGCCATCGCCCTCGTCGTCGTCGTCATCATGGTCCTCCACGTCGTGGCGGGCGCCAGTGCGGCGCGGGCCGCGTTGAGCGCGGGAGCGAGTGCGGGGACCCGAAGCACCGTGGGTGCTTGGGCTCGGCGATGAGGCAGCTGCTGGAGCCTGCCCGTCTCCTTGGTGGTCAGCACCACCCTCGGCGATGATGCCAGCGTCGATGCCAGCGGCGATGAGCTTGGCCTCGACGGTGATGAAGAAGAGGTTGGCATCCTGCTCAGCGCCAGCGAAGACCTTGATGCCGTCTGCGCTAATTGAGGTGGGTCTCATAATCTGTTGTAAGTTCATGGTGGTGGTGCTGTTGTTGGAGACTTGTGTGTGTGTGTTGTGTGTGTGTGTGTGTG